AGTTTTAGAGGGGAAGATACTCGCAAGACTTTTGTGGATCATCTCTACTCAGCTCTCGAAGAACAGGGGATCTACACTTACAAGGATGACATAACACTTGCTCGGGGAGAATCGATCAGCCCTTCCCTGTTGAAGGCTATTGGAGAATCGCAGATTGCCATCATCGTGTTCTCTAAAAACTATGCAAATTCGACCTGGTGCTTGGATGAACTTACACATATTATTAAATGCAGGAATGAGATAGGGCAAACTGTTATGCCCATATTTTATGACGTGGATCCCTCTGAAGTGAGAAAACAAAAACGAAAATACAAAGAAGCATTTGACACACATGAGGTGGAAAACAAAAACAAAATTAAATCTTGGGGACAAGCAGTTGTTGATGAACCTTGGGGATGGCTCTCTGCACCGTTCGAGCAAAATCGAAAATACAGAGAAGCTGCTGCCAAACAGGAGTTGGAAAACAAGATGAAGGTTGAATCATGGAGAAAAGCACTTGTGGAGGCAAGTAACATTTCTGGATGGGAAACCACACAGATTGCCAACGGGTAATTTTCTTCAATGTTTTTGCACTTTTTATACTTTGATATGTGTGCTCTACAACATATTTATACTTGTACCTTATGAGCTGTTTATATAAATGTTTTAATTATTGTTGATGGTGTTGTCTGTTGATGACCTTTAAAAAGGAGAGACTTTACCTGGATCAATTGACCAGTTTGGTAAGTTCAAGTATATCTCAAACCCAGGTTTATGGTTCAAATAAAGTTATGAAGGACTCATTAAGTTCTAGTTCTAATTCCATAATGAACACCTTGCTTCAAGCTACAACAACAAATCCATCATGCTTTACTTTTTTATATTGGAAACTATTTGATGATTCCTAAGAAAATTGTTACAAAGTACTTGTGATGTTGACTTTACATTTTCTATTTAAATGTAAAATATAAAAGGTGATTAGGACTCCGTTTTCTTTATTGCATGGAACATGAGACCAATTACCTCTTTTATTAATGTGGGCATATATTAATTGTCCTTGTACGTCTAATGTGTATATAGGCATGAATCACAGGGCATCAAACAAATAGTTGTCGAAATTTCGCAGAAATTGTATCCATTAACTTCAAAAGCAGATGAAAATCTGATTGGAATGGCTGTACGCGTGCAAAGTTTGAAATCAGAGTTACAAATTGAGTCAGGCGGTGTTCTCATGATTGGAATATGGGGGGTTGGGGGTGGTGGTAAGACTACTCTTGCATCTTCGGGTTATAGAGAAATCTCTAGCAAGTTTAATGGTTGCTGCTTTATTAAAAATATTCGAGAGGAATCAAGCAGGTATGGGCTGGAAAAGTTGCAAAAAAAAATTCTTTCAGAAATGAAAGTAAACAAAGTTGGAGGAGGAAGATCCTTGATAGATAATAGGTTACGCCGTAGAAAGGTCTTGATTGTTCTAGATGATGTCCATCACCTCGACCAACTAAAAGCATTAGCTGGGTCACATGATTGGTTCGGTGAAGGAAGCCGAATAATAATCACAACCAGAGATGTGCATTTATTAAATGCACATAGAGTTGATGTAATGCACAATGTCAGCTTGTTAAACGATGAGGAGGCTATTGAGCTCTTCCGCAAGCTTTCACCGCAAGATTACATACCTAAGGAAGATTATGAGCAGCTTTCAAAAGATGTGGTTTCTTATGCTGGTGGGCTCCCATTAGCACTTGCAGTTCTCGGTCCTTTCCTTTGTGACAAAGATATTGACGAGTGGAGGAGTGCTTTGGCCAGATTGAAAGAGATCCCAAATGATGATATTGTGGGAAAGCTAAAACTCAGCTTTGATGGACTTACAAAGGTTGAGAAAGAGTTGTTCCTTGATATTGCTTGTTTTTTTAGGTGGGAGAGCAAAGAAAGGTCAATGGAGATACTTGATGCTTGTGGTTTTCATCCTGTTATAGGAGTGAAGGTGTTGATACAAAAGGCTCTCATAACTATTTCAGAAGATGGAAAGTTTGATATGCATGATCTGGTGCAAGAAATGGGACACCACATTGTTAGAGGGGAACACCCTAACAACCCTGAAAAACATAGTAGAGTTTGGAAGAAGGAAGATGCTATAAAAATATGCTCTATGGATGCAACAACGGTAACGATTAAGCTAGCTTAATTTGCATGATATATATATATATATATATATATATATATATATATATATAATATATAATATATATATATATATATATATATATATATATATATATAAACACTTTTAACTTAATCATGACACCAGTTTGTTCCTATATCATAGGAACTTGATATGATTGAAGCAGTAGGACTTGGATTCTTTATTTTTCCACCAGGGGATAATCTACCACTTGTTGCAAACGCAAAGAACCTTAGGTGGATTGAATGGCAATGTGATTTTGCATTTCATTTGCTTAGTAACTTTCCACAAAGGACGCTTTGTTGTCTAATATTGGGGTCGTGCCTGCAGAAACAGTTATGGGAGGGTAATAAGGTAATTTTTATTGTATTTTTAATTAAAAGATGAAAACAAGGTGGATGATGAATGTTCGACCTCAGTAAATGTTGGTGTCATTAAGCAATTTCAGCTATATTTTTATAACTAGCTATAACATTGAGTATTGACTATTGAAAGCATAAACCTTTATTTCTGTAAATCTGGTTGTGTGAATAACAATAAATTCTGTAGTTAAAATATAACTTGTTTGATATGATATGAAAGCATTAGTCAATGCATCCATGGTATTTATGTATCGTCCTCCATATAAATATCCTTTTGTCTTAACATAACGACCAAAATTCGTTTTTTCCTTGGAAATAAATACTATATAAATTTTTAGCTAAGATTTCAATCTAAATAATTTTTTTTTTTGATTAATAACCATTGTAAAACATTGATATCATTCATTTGGGTTCAAAACTCTTTTATTATTTTGTTTTTATTAAGTGTCTTTTATTGTGTTAATTACAAAATAATTCAAATATTTTCCATTTACAGATGGAAGGAGTTAGTTATTTTTTTTTTTGTCTAATTTTATCCTCTAAGACACACTAATGGATTCTTATATATATATATATATATATATATATATATATATATATATATATATATATATATATATATAATGTGTGTGTGTGTGTGTGTGTTAATGTGTTTCTTATATTTATTGTGTGCTAGAATGAATCAATAGGAATTTTGTTAAATTAAATAATTATTTAATTATATAAAGATAGATATTACATTATTTCCATAATTATATGTATATTAAATGATATCCATAATTATGATTCTCTTTTTATGGAAACTAATTAAATTCGTCATTAATGTCAGCAATAACATTCTTTCAGAATAATTCGCATTTAGGTTTTGATGTATGGGTCCGTGTTTTGTTTATGGACCCACTCGCTTAAAATACAATAAAGTTGCATGGAATATGAAGAACGAGAGTGTATTCTACTAGAATACACTCTCATTCTTTTAGAATATAATCTCATTCTTTTATAATAAACTCTCATTCTGTTAAATACACTATCGTTCTCCATGTTCCAGATAACTTTGTTGTATTTTGAGTGAGTGGGTCATGAAACAAAATACAAACTCATACATGAAAACCTAGATGCGAATTCATTCTGAAATAATATTATTGTTGATATTAATGATGAATTTAATTAGTTTACATAAAAAATGAATTATAATTATGGATATCATTTAATATACATATAATTATGTAAATCATTTAATATTATTAAATAATAATTTAATTTTTACTAAATTCTTATTGGTGCATTTTAACACACAATAGATGTGAGAAACATTTAAACCTACCTCTCTCTCTCTCTCTCTCTCTCTCTCTCTCTCTCTCTCTCCTCTCTATCCTCTCTCTATTATATATATATATATATATATATATATATATATATATATATATATATATATATATTGTGTGTGTCTGTGTATGTGTATGTGTATGTGTGCTTGCACAAGCCAAAATATTGACTTGTTTGCACTTGTATACAACAGTTGCTGCCCAATTTGAAGACAATTGAACTTTATGGTTTGGAAAACCTAATCATGACACCAGATTTTGATGGACTTCCAAATCTTGGAAGATTCATCCTTACTCGATGTTTCTATTTAAAAGAGATTCATCCATCGATTGGACGCTTGGAAAGTCTTGTTTTCTTATGTATAGCACATTGTCCCCGTCTTGAGAAGTTTCCACCCATCATCCAACCAAAGAAACTTAAAACCCTAGAATTCTCAAGCTGCCCCAAACTTTTTAATATCTCAGAGATCCAAAAGCAGAACATTGACAATTTAGGGAATCTTGATTTGGATAATAGTGGGAAAGAAGTTGAATCCTATATGGAAAGTTGTTTAGAGGAGCCTTGTTTATCTCGTAACAACATGAATCCTTGTTTGTATGACAAAAACATGAACCACATAGGGTTGCAGTTGTTTTTCAATGACATAAGAAAGTTGGATCTTAGCTTTTGCCGTTTGGGAGATGAAGAGATTTGCTCTGCTGATTGGGAGTTGCCCAACTTGAAAGAACTCAATCTAAGAGGAAATGACTTTTCACGATTAAGTTTCAGTCGCTTGAAACTTCCTCGGCTCAAACTGCTCAATGTGTCATATTGCCAAGGCCTTGTAGAATTGTCAGAGCTGCCATCAAGTATAGCTGTTGTTTTGGCTGATTCTTGTACCTCACTTGAGACCTTTGGAGATGTTTCAAACTGTAAATGGTTGTGGAACGTCTCACTTCTGTTGGGGAACAATCGCGGTGGTGACATATTACTACACTCCATGCTCCAGGTTTGGGTCTACATAACTTTTGATTTTCAATATTTGTTATGTTTACCCTACCATAGGAATCATAATTGAATGTGATTTCCATGTCAGGGACATGCTATTCAGGATCACTTTATCATTGTCGTTCTTGAAAGTCAGATTCCGAAGGAGTTTACTGGTAGACTGTTTAGGAGGAACACATTTACATTGCATTTTCCAGATGATTGGTACAGTGACTTTTGCGGGTTCTTAATATGTGTTGTTACCCAAGACATGTCTCCAAAAATTAATACAGTATCAAGCAGGAGGTACATGAAGATTCTCTATTTGCTCTTGAGTCTAATGAAGCAGTGGAGCCTGAATATGATGGAATGAGGACATTTGTAGGATATGTTTCCTTTGGTTCATTGAGGCACACCGCATTTTCAAATTCATCTTACACTATGATTTCAGTTTCCACAAACAGAGAGAGTTATGTTGGAGCCAAGCTTGTTCCTAGAAAAAGTAAAGCTCATCAGGTGCAAACAACAAAATTCACCACAGACTTCTCAGAATTTTATGATCAGGAACTCAATTATGGCGAACCTTCATTTACTATCCAGGATGATTCAAACTCTTCTATCGAGATTATATGGCAAACACCCCAGACGTCACGAGCATAGGATATTAGTTGATCCGGGGCCAATGGATGAAGGTTTAGGCCGAGGTCGATCGAGAGTGCTCTTTATGTACTATAAAATATAAATAGGATGTGTTTTATTACATTGGAGTGTTGGTTCCAGGGGTGCCTGCATAAATAAGCATATTTGTTGAACTGCGTAAAATGATGTCTATAGGCTATAACAATACTTTCCATATAGGAATCATTGTTCATGTATTTATACCTCATTGATTAAAGAGAGGCATCAAGTTTTCTGACTTTCATGGTGTCACAACTAGTCGATCTCTAGCCCTACCCCTGCAGTCGTGTTCTTTGATCTGATGCCTCTTTTCCTCTGACATCCTTTTCGACCAGGCAGTCACATGACACCCTCTCTTCTCTCTTGATTTCCTTGCTAATCAAGGCACTCTCCTCCCAGCCCCAAGTACCCTAATTTCTTCCTTCTCCTTCCATTACTAATCCCATCTTTTTCCTCTTCTCATGGCTTCCGAGAACAAAATACACCTTGTTGTCACCGTTTCAAACATAAAGAATCTCATCGCAATCACTTTGAGGATAGAAAAAGTGCAATACACTTCACGGGCTACGTTCAAAATTCATTGCCATGCAGTAGTTTAGCAACATGAAACTTGATGCTTTTCCGAACATCTCCGCATACTCTCTCTAATCAACTTGTTAATGTCGGATCTATAGTCATGAACATTGTGTGTTTCTACAACTGGTTGCCAGCCTCAACTCCAATTATGATAATGTTGATACACTATTTCAACAAACCAATCCCTTACAACTGTCTTATGAAGCCCGATCCAAGTTTGTTCTTAAGGACACCAGAAAATCCTATCAAAATCTAACTGCTCTTCTCTCAACCTTCGCCGCCTCGGTCGGAAATTCTGTCACCGTTGCTCTGCGTAGTTCCAGCACCGACAGTTTACCGACGGAAATCAACAAATTTGTATACCATCGGTAAACCGTTAATAAAATTAAGATTTAAAAAAAAAATTAATTATATGTTATAAAATAGTTACAGCATATGTTTTGTCATAGTAAGATTCCTAAAAGTTAAAATAGTAAAATACAACTGTCTTATTAGATTCATAAATCCTAATATTAAATAAAATCATAAAAGTTAAAGAATTTTGCAAATTTGGTTAAATGATTTGTTGATTTTTTTGGTTTTAGTTTATGTGGTTTTAAAATTACAAATTTGTTTATTTTAGAAAGTTTGGTTGTGAATTTTGTTCTTTCATTTACCACATGTTAATTTATATCTGTTAAACAAAATTGAATATTTATTTAGAAATAATATACAAGTCAATATGAGATCATTATCTTAAACTTAAATCATGTGATTGGTTGCGACAGGTCACAACCATCTCTGATTGGTGCGTATATTTCACGCTCTCTATAGGAATAGTAAATTGGGAATAACTCATTAACGTTTGGAATAGTCTTTGAAAGCTTTTAACCTTGGGAGCTGATTTATCCACTGAATATTTTTATCCATCCACAGAAAATAATATGTATTGACAATATTGCCCTTAATTTAATTTCTTGATATTAAAAGATGGAAAATCTGAGGTTCGGAAACTCCAAACAGTGTACAACTCACGACAAAACAACCTATAATCATTCGGTGCCTACTTGTTCTTCAGCGCACTCTCAAACATCAACTCCAAATGATTTTTCCATTGATGTTGTCCCCTTGAAAAAACAATAAAGTCTCAATCTTATCTGCAACAATTTTGCAACATAGTTTCATACAAAAATAATCAAAATCATGTTCTTATTTCTACAAAAATGGAATCAGGAAACACCAAATGTTAAATCTTTTATGTCTCTGGATCCCTATGCACCTTCAAACAAATTCCACATAACTGGAATCAAATGCAAAACAAGCAAAATCCAAGTACCAATTCCAATTTCTATTCGAAATTTATATTGGAATGGTTTCTGAGAGGTAACATCAAATGTAGTTTTACTGAAATTGTTTTGTGGGACAATAAAACTCGAAAATACAAACATCTTCTTGAACAAAAAGTGAATCCAATTCTGTTATTTTAAGTAGCAGGTAGCAATATAATAATCAAACACATAGTCTGCATATGACCAATACAAAGCATATGCTTGACCAGGAATCGAAACCAAAAATTCTAATCAGCATAAAATCAAACAGTTGGTGTGCAAGGATAATAGAAGTGTATAATTTCAATATTTATTGTTTTTTTATGTCCTTCCGACAACAAAACGACGGACCAAAAAGTTGCAAATAACTTATAGAAATTAATGATGAAAATATAAACAATACAATAGAAAATCTACAAGAGACTTGCACCTGCGAAACTGAGGACAATAACACCAACAATAAAATCGATAAATCTGAAGAACGATGATGAAGAGCCTGAAGGTCGAGAAATTGGAAGATGGATGTTGGACTTTTGAGCTCGATTACAAATAGACAATGAAGACCCTGATGATCGATTGATAATTACAAGCGTATTTTGTGCTCGATTGCTATCGACTATGGAGGCGTTGCAGTTGCAGAGATGGGAGTACTAGGAGATGAAAGAAGATGGTGTCAGTGACTAGTGGCGGTGTTTGGAGTTTGCAGGATTTTCTTTGTTCAATATCTACAAATTAAAAGCAAGGGTATAATTGTCCGTTCATATTTTTTTTCCTTGGATAGATAAAAACCCTCCGTGGATAAATCACCTCCGTTTAACCTTATAGTATGTTGTGCATCTCTACTTGTATGTCTCTGTCTCTCCCTCTCTAAAGTTTCCCAGATCCGTCTGTTTTTCTCTCTAGATTCTTCAGGTTCTTATCTACACCAGATTGCTGATTGTCGAGATTAGAAGCGGGAGTTGATACTTCCACTTAGGGTGTGCATCTCTACTTGGATCACCCCTACTTCCAATTATTTATTTTGTCCATCCACTTAAATTTGATATGTTTTGACGGTTTTATCCTTATTTAAAATTTCTAAAAGTACAGAAAAAAAAGATAAATAGTTTTTAGACGTTGCCCCCACTTTCTAACATTTACGATTCTTCTTTTTTTTTTCTTGAGTAAATTACACGAATGGTCCTTATGGTTTCGGGTAATTTGCGCGCTTGATTCCTAACGTATTATTTAACTCGGAAGGTCCCTATTAATTGTTTTTGTTACGTGTTTGGTCACTGTTGTTTGTTTTTTTTATGTTCTTTGTCTCTGTCTTACCTAAAAAGACTATTATTTAAATAGGGAAAATGGTGGGGCAGCGCAGGTAAGGTAAGGTGAGGGGATGAGGTTGGGGTGTGTTTATTTAAGTATATTAAAAAAATCAAGGGCAAAATAGTATTTTTTTTTTAGGTAAGACAGGGACCAAGCGCGTAACAAAAACAAATAGTAGGGACCTTCCAAATTAAAAAAATTGGTTAGAGACCAAACATGCAAATTACCCTAAACCATAAGGACCATTCATGTAATTTACTCTTTTTTGTTCATAACTTAGAATATAAAATCTCAAATAAATTTGTTTTTCTTTTTGTCATCGCTGTTAACGGCTGCGTTTTATCCATCAATTTATTTAAACTTTTTTTTTTCCATTTATCACTATAAGAACAAATTTAACAAACGCTAATTTCTTTTCTCACGTAACCATGAAAGGCACTACATGTAACGAAAATTAGTTGTTTCAAACTAATCCATATCGCAATAAATTATTCAAACTACTTCATACCAAATAAAGATAAAGTGTTGTTCAACAAAAATTTCAAATCACAATAATTTTATAAAAAGCTTGAAACAAAACATTCACCCTATTTCAATGTCCTCATCACTTAAAATGTTGGATATGTATTTAAATCAAATAAGCTGCTCTCAAACACTTCATTATTCATATGTAAGTCAACGTAGAACTTGAAGGATTGTGTGTTTGTGATGATTCCACAAACTCTAATCTTGAAGGATTTTGTGCATTATTCCTCTCTTCTTTTTTTAATTTTGGAGGTCTACCTTTTACTTAACTTTCATGCAAAAGAAACATGAAACCAAAGAAATAATGAAATTCCTTCTGTTTGTCGATTAAGAAAGATATTTGCTAAAAGCCTAAAAGTAAAGCTACTATAGACACTTCACATAGCTCGACCATGTCAATGCATTGAATCGTGTACACAAAGTGCACAAATTGATTTTTTTACACTATACATTTTACTATTTTAGCTCTTTATACACGTAAGTAATTTGCTACAATGGCATAACATTAATTTATTAAGGATGACTAGCAATTCTTTTGAGATGTTAGATTTTTTATTTTTGTTTCCATCTAATCATATGGCTTTTTAGTTGCTTTGGCTGCCAAAATGCTTCTTTTTTATTTTGCTTAGGCGAACATACATTTATGAGCATATAACACCTGCACCCATTTTATATGCAAATTAAAAGCCCATAACTCTCTAGAATGCAAAACCTACACCCTGATAAACTCCCATAAATTTTACGACATCAATGCTTTGATGAATACTATCACCAAACACTTTTGAAAAACTTATGAACGATAGAAATAAATGTGATCTAATCTCCATTCTTAATAAAAACCTCTCCTAGAAGCCACGTGTCCATCTTTTAGACCTGCCTTCTGCCACACGTGTCCATCTCTCTAGCAATTCTCTCTATTTTCTCCCGCCTAATTCATCATTCAATATTAAATCTGTTATCAAATTTGTATCCCTATAATTAAGCTGCCGAATTTGGTGCAATTTCGGTTTTCATCATCTTTGTTCCTATACATCATCGATTAATTTTTAAATACATGATTCCATGTCAATTCATCTTTTAGACCTTCCTTCCTTTTTGATGTT